CTAAAAGTCAGCTATTTTCTTTATTCTTAGTCAGAATTGACATAAACTAAGTTTCGTTTTTTAAAGAAAAAATGTTTTTTTTTGAAAAATTAAGGCATTTTTGGACGGTTCGTCTTTTGTTAAGAAAGTAAGGCTATAGCCTTGGAAAAATTTTCAAATTTTTCGAAAATTTTCGGTCCTAAAAGTCAGTTATTTCTTTTACTCTTAATCACGATTGACATTAACTAAATTTCTTTCTTTAAAAAGAGAATGTTTTTTTGAAAAAAAGGACTTTTCCGACGGTCCGTCCTTTGTCCAAAAAGTAAGGCTATAGCATTGGAAAAATCTTCAAATTTTTCGAAAGTATTTTCTCCTAAAAATCAGCTATTTCCTTTAATCTTAATCAGAAATAACATGAACTGAGTTTCCTTTTTTAAAAAAAGAATGTTTTTTTGAAAAAATAAGGACTTTTCCGACGGTCCGTCCTTTGCCGAAAAAGTAAGGCTATAGCCTTGGAAAAATCTTTAAATTTTTCGAGAATCTTTTCTCCTAAAAGTCAGCTATTTTCTTTATTCTTAGTCAGAATTGACATAAACTAAGTTTCGTTTTTTAAAGAAAAAATGTTTTTTTGAAAAATTAAGGCAATTTTTGGACGGTTCGTCTTTTGTTAAGAAAGTAAGGCTATAGCCTTGGAAAAATCTTCAAATTTTTCGAAAATTTTCTCTCCTAAAAGTCAGTTATTTCTTTTACTCTTAATCACGATTGACATAAACTAAATTTCTTTCTTTAAAAAGAGAATGTTTTTTTGAAAAAAAGGATTTTTCCGACGGTCCGTCCTTTGCCCAAAAAGTAAGGCTATAGCATTGGAAAAATTTTAAAATTTTTCGAAAGTATTTTCTCCTAAAAATCAGCTATTTCCTTTAATCTTAATCAGAATTAACATAAACTGAGTTTCCTTTTTTAAAAAAAGAATGTTTTTTTGAAAAAATAAGGACTTTTCCGACGGTCCGTCCTTTGCCGAAAAAGTAAGGCTATAGCCTTGGAAAAATCTTCAAATTTTTCGAGAATCTTTTCTCTTAAAATTCAGATATTCCCTGTAAATTTAATCAGAATTGACATAAACTGAATTTCCTGTTTTAAAAAAAGATTGTTTTTTTGAAAAATAAGGATTTTTTGGACGGTTCATCTTTTGTTAAAAAAGTAAGGCTATAGCCTTGGAAAAATCTTCAAATTTTTCGAAAATCTTTTCTCCTAAAATTCAGTTTTATCTTTTAATCTTAATCAGAATTGACATAAACTAAGTTTCCTCTTTAAAGAAAGAATGTTTTTTGAAAAAAAAGGACTTTCCGACGGTCCGTCCTTTGTCCAAAAAGTAAGGCTATAGCCTTGGAAAAATCTTCAAATTTTTCGAAAATCTTTTCTCCTAAAATTCAGTTTTATCCTTTAATCTTAATCAGAATTGAAATAAACTAAGCTTCCTCTTTAAAGAAAGAATGTTTTTTGAAAAAATAAGGACTTTTCCGACGGCCCGTCCTTTGCCCAAAAAGTAAGGATATAGCCTTGGAAAAATCTTCAAATTCTTCGAAAATTTCTCTCCTAAAAGTCAGTTATTTCTTTTACTCTTAATCAGGATTGACATAAACTGAGTTTCCTTTATTAAAGAAGGAATGTTTTTTTGAAAAAATAAGGACTTTTCCGACGGTTCGTCCTTTACTAAAAAAGTAAGGCAATAGCCTTGGAAAAATCTTCAACTTTTTTGGAAACTTTATTTTTTCCAAAATTTTGTTTTTGTTTTCCTTTGGAGAAAAAAAATTGTTCGAACAAACACTTTTTGCATCATATGAGAGGTGATGCGAAGACAAAGTGCCATTTTATGTTAATAAATCAATGAAAAATCGAATTTACTGCATAGAATAGAAATACTCAAAAATGGAGAAAGCTATGAGAAGCGAGGAAAAGAAACATAGCTCCAAATGCTGACATCCCGAAAATGTGATTTTATTTACGTCATTCGAAAGCCTTTCTCACAAAGAGTTTAATGTTGTAAGGCTTTGACGATTTTGATCTTATCTGTCCTACTTTGCAACCGCAAAAATAATTTCATCTATGACAGCATCTTAGTCCTTTGGAAATCCAAAGGAATTCAGACACATTTTGTAGAACAGATCTTACAATAGCAAATGCATTATTCATAACAAGGTAAATTTGAACTTTTCATGGTATCGTAGACGTTGCAAGTCCATTGTTCATAATAATCTTCAAGACAGGGTTTATTTTAACGTGCAGTGATAACCAATGTGTGTAGTAATAAATCGTTATTGTGTACTGATGAACTCAAATTTTGCGCAGCGATAAAACTAAAAGAGATTTGGCATTGAAAAAGCAACTGCCAGTAGAAACATGAAGCATTTAGTTTGATGGGTGTGGTTATGAAAATTTTCAAAAGGTGACACCCAAATTTTCAAAATTTTTGAATATGTGCAGTTATAAAAATTCCTTAAAATAAACTCTGCTTCAAAAGCATCATCATGCTCATAATTCTTGTACGTTGCATAGCAAAAGCAATCCAATAAAGTCGGACAAGCACGACCAAGAAGTTTATGATCAGAATGATGTACTAGTGATTCTTGAAAATGGAGGCCCAGATCGCAAACAATAAAATTTTTTAAAGTAGAGAACATAACCAGGCATGATATGCATAAATGCTGAACTGTTTTTGTATCATATAATTATTTCGATGCATAAAATTTATGAAAATCTTAGAAGCTCTTAGAATTCAAAACTATCGGGCTAAATTTATTCCGAAACATTAATTGTCCAAAACTTCTCGATTTCAATGTACACGGAAGCAGGGGTGTACTGCTAGGGGGGGGAAGAGGGCTGAACCTTCTTTTGTTAATGCCAAAATATAACCAATTTCTATTCTTGCTATTGTTTTTGGCAATACTATGTGCAAAAGCCCCCCTTATTATTGTGGTAGCCCTACACCACTGCACGGAAGCTATGAACAAACCAATGGATTTTTAACAAAACCTTGTTCATTGGAAAATCTGTGGTTAATCTAAGGGAGAGAAATTCTTTTCCACCAATAAATGAGAACCTTCTTTTCCCCTGGACAAGAGCAGTTAACAATGATCACAATGTAAATGCAGCTAGGCATATCGATTGGAAACATAATCTCGATAATATATTCCCCTGATCCGGAATAAAGAAGCTCGCATGATTAATTATCATGACGATGGATAAATTTGGAATCTACAGTGTTACGAGGACGGTCTGAGTTTTAGTCAGTAAGGAAACACAATTTACCTCCTTGTATTTGTTATCTTCTTTGTGCTGACCCTTGTGGGTAGATTTTCATCCATCAAACTTTTAATTGGTAATATATGAAAGGGATCAGTAAAAGCTATGACCACAGTCTATTGGCACTGTTAAAACCAGGGTTCATCGACTTACCAACTGGCCAGTTTCGAAAAACTGATGTGAATAGAGAGCATTTCAAGGTAACTGTCTCTCATCCATGGACAAATCAGTACACGCCAAGAAATCATCACTACAAGATTCCAGTGCTTGTTGAAAATTCTTCGAAAAGAACGGCACTACAGCAGATGCAAAATCGAATGTTGGGCGCTAAATGCATATAGAATGATCGTAAAACTCATCGATTGAAAGTCTCAAATTGATTTATTGGTCAAATAAAATATAATCTCTTCCACCAATTGACCAATAAAGCCACAAACACCATTAAAAGAGATAACCAAGACCTAAGAAATGCGGGATGTTTTATTCAACGGGAGTTTACTTCTTTCCATAAAAACATTTAGAGTTTCCTTTATTATTCTACAGCATAATGGGTCTTAATGTTTTAAAGGACGGTATTCTGCTTTTTAACAATTTCAGGTCGCCAAGTAATCCTAATGTAAATTTTACTTCGATAAAACAAGACAAAAGTCCGCATTAATTCCAAAAAACCTTTCGAAGCTTTTTAACATAGAAAAAACGACCATTCTTCCATACACAAAGCACAGCTGTAGTGATAACGTGACATGTTTGAATCGTTCCAAATGACAGCACGGAGCGCATGCGCAAGTGCTTGAAAAAACTTGTACCTCAAAATGTAATGCTTTCCCCTAGCGCGCAAATCTCTTGCTTGGGAGTAGAACTTCTGTGCCTTCATGATAAACAATAAAACAGTTCAATCCATGCAAATGATGATATGCGTCTTTTAAGCATGCATGTCTATAACTACGACTCTCTGGAACAGTATCTTAACTGAACGCAAAAACTCTATCTGTCCTAGTGATAAAGATATTTGTTAAGAAATGGAAAAACATTTGTAAAGTTAGAAATAGAAGGAGGCTACTCAACTAAAATTTGGTATAACCGACAGAACATTTTCAAAAACTATCAAATATGCAAAGTCAGTTAAATATTTTATAAACATCAATAGACTCACATTTGTTAACATCCAGGTCTGTCTGTATGCTGCATTGCCAATCAAGATTTTCTGCCTTTCTCGGCCTACCATCCTTGTCAAAAGGATTCCATTAGGGCCATGAATCGAGATTTCAATTTTGAAACCAACTTTTCTTTGTCCTTCATCAAATAGATGATTTGTCACTGCATCGTTCTCGTCTTGCAATTTGCATTGAAAGGCATTGTTTCATACCTGTCGCTGAAATTGATATTCTCGCTGCGCATGTCAAATGCTAGCTCATTTCAACAACAATTTTCAATACATCAGGCTCATACATCAGACATTAATTACTGTAAATTGGTGAAAGAATATTTCAATAATATACCTACAGTCCCTGTCAAAAGTCCAAGGAGCAAGAGTAGATGAAGTGCTGTTTGTAGAATCAAAAGGTTAGTCTTGAACAACACCACTCTTTCAATGAGCTTTACAGGTCGCACATTTACACTTGGGACAGTTTGCCGGTGCGAAGGGGAGAAACTTGCAAAATTTACGTAACGAGTATGAAAAATTGCTAGCATCCCAGTAAAAGAAATACACGAGTAAATAAATTGTTCTTGCTTTAAAACTGTTCTTATAGTAATAGCAATTATAGTAATAATAGCATCAGAGGTAACATAACTGTAATTTCACTTTGATCAACTGAATGATATTTTAACATTTTATCGCCGAGAAACGGTTGATTCGAATTACTTCAATACTGATATACACAGAATGATACAGAGTAATCATATTAATTGTGAACGGTAATAGTACCAGCCAAAAGGCGCGAAAACGTGGATTTCTTATATACAGTATTCAAGACTGGGTGTTTAGATAAACTGATCTTCACATGAAGACATGCGACATGCTATCATGTTGAAAATGCAAAACAGGGCCTAAGGAAGTCACTTGCTCAATACCGCAATCGTGACGCTTTCTTGCTGTAGTAGATTACCGAAGCTTTTGAGTACATTAATGCATAGTAAAATTTATAGAAATCAACCATTTAATACCTGAGGCCTATTTACATAGTTGGTATATCTAACATAGGAGGGGTACTATGTATAGCCTGGTCCCAGGTTGGGAAATCCCCGTGATTCTATTTACAAGTATAAATCGAACCTAGTTAAAACCGTCGCGGGTAGCCGGGACAGAGGAGCCTCTAGTGCACAAAAGCGGAAAATCAATGGATCTTACTAGCAGGAGGGAAATCCTTCTATACAGGCACCTGGAAGTCAAACAACAAGGTGCAAGAAGAGGATACTATCCATAGGCGAATTTCTATTTCACATATAAACATAGTGATATAGTGATTAAAAAACGTATCGACTTTTAGCCCTTCATGTACAGATTTGAGGGGTACTTATGCGGAACAAAACAATAAAAATTCCTAAGGTTAAGAAAAAATCTTATGTGAAGTGCGTGTTTAAATATTTATCAGCTAAGCAGTAGTACTGTTACAAACAATTCTAGATATGAAAAACGTCCGACATCAATTGAAAGCTAAGTTTATTAACATATGGTACAAATACTTCATGTACAACCACGACAGGGTCATCCTGGTCAATATTAATACATAAGAGGCCTTGCCTTTCCTCCCTTGACTACAAGGAAACCAGTATTTCTAAAATGTGACCTAACCGCTAAAGTTTTGAAGGCTCTAAAAGATTTGAACATTCAGTCTGCCAAGTGGTAAGGCCAGGAAAAGGAAAGAGCTAGATTTGAATAGCTACTCCTCAGAGTTTCAAACACGTTCTTAGTTTGTTCCTATCGGAAACTCTAAAAATGGCTTTGCTGAAGGGGGAGTGTAGTGTCAGTATCTTGCTACGGAAACATGACAAGTTTTAAAAGTGGCCACTTTTGGCAGAAATTGCTGCTAAGCGGTAGAAAAGCACTGTTTGAACATTTTCCCGTGCCTTCGAGTGCTGCTCACCGTAAGAATTGCTGACAACTTAATATTTAACGGCCTTTTAAACAAACCCGCGGATATCGAGTGTCTACCTCAAGTCCGTGCAGTTAGCGACATATTAAACGTTTTTCAAGACAGCTAATATAAGCTTCATTTATACAGTCACCCAGTGTCTATTTAAGATACAGGAAGCTATCTCTTTGTGAAAGTTCTAAATTTATCAAGTTGAATACAAAGATGAAGGTGATACCTGGCGAGACAACTCTAAGGAAATTCAAATACTTTCATCTGAAAAGAGAACTATTCAAACACTAGCTACCAGAGGATTGAAGATCACTGCATTTCATTACGAGACGATTCTCTAGATAGCATACAAACCCCTTAAAATCCGGCATAAAATCATAGACAGTGGACTTAAGGTAGGCATCCAAAATCAAAGCTGCATAATCTATGTTATACGAAAGACATTCTATTTTTGCATCACATAATAAACGGAAATAGAATGATGCAACTCCCTTAAAACTGGGAAATTTCATCTAGAGAAAACGAATATCATAATGCAATCTAACTATCTACCCCGCTAGTCGTGGTGGAGGTAAACCCTTTTCCGTTTTCTAAAGACACGTACAGACTCTTTTTGTCCGAAAGAAATATATCAGTTTCTTTGACATTCTGGCTGTTGACCTCTTCGTAGAGGCGGCCGAGGCACTTCTTAACACGCAAAGATGAAAGTCGCGCAGAGGGATTGTGATACCAGCATTCTTGCATGACCTTAGTCACGGTTTGCATGACCTAGAAGAAAAGCAATAATAATAAAATTTTCATACATATTCAATTAAGTTTCATTTGAACTGATAGAAAATACGAAGGGGGGATCAGGCTAGAGCAGGAGTTTGCTAATGCTGATCGATTCACCTGCCGAAATCTCAAGCAGGTGTTTGTGAATATCGCACAGTTCATTTTCGCAACCACCAAATAGCATACATTTCATGTCAGACAAAAGCAAATATTTGCAGCTAAAAGGTTCATCAAAGTTTAATTTTCACGCGCAAAAAACATCAACATCTTAACGCCATTTGTTCTTAAATCCAGCATCAAGATGTTTTCGAATTATCAAGTAAACAGCTGCTTGTTGATGACTTCCTTCCGAGCATTTTATGTATTTGTCTTTTACAATAAAGATGAAAATGAAATCCTCACCGGGTCTTTTGCCCATCGGGTCGGAATCTCCGGTCGCCTTTTCTGTAGAGATACAATAAAGCGGACATCTTCAAACGATGGGTCTTGATGTAGGCAGTCATAAAATGGTGGCTGGTATTCTTCAACAACGCCTGAAAAAAAAACAAAAGTATGTTACTGGGGATCAAAGCAACAACTGTTCTAGAACAACCACAGTTAATAGAGAAAAAAAAGAACACCAATTTTTATTACAAAACAGACTGTTATGAATATTGGAACAAACTCAAATTTCGAAAAGAAATGTAGCAAACAGAATATATGAAGAAAGTGAAACAAACTAGCAGCTTAAACAACATACAATGCCTTTAAAGTTATTTCAAGTTACAAATTGTAGGATTTCTAGGGGGCCTTACCATCACAAACGTATTTTCTTGCGATTTCCCATATAACCAAACCGAAAGCATAAACATCAGCTTGCTTGAAGGAATCAAAGGAATTTGTGTTTATCCTTTCTTCCAGGATTTCTGGAGACATATATCGTTTGGTGCCAACTCTTCTAGTAACATGCATATCAAGTTGGTTGGTTTCCTTTGAATGCAGCACAGCAAGGCCTAAATCAGAGATGACACACTGCCCATTCTTTTTGACGAGGATGTTCTTTGATTTCACATCCCGGTGTGCGATGGCTGGCTTACCTAGCATGCCAAAGATTTCTGTGTGAAGATGAGCCAGCCCACAGGCAGCTGAATAGACCATCAAAAGCATCTGCTGGATATCCAGTGCGTGGACAGTGAGATAGTCATACAGGGAGCCATTTGGATGATAATGAGTGATAAGCCACATGCAGGTTTCTGAATTGCGTGTCGCAATATCCGATGCAATGAACCCAAGGATGTTATCATGGCGAAGCATAACTGTGTTGTAGATCTCTGTTTCTCTGGTCCATGACTCTTCATCTCGGGAGTTGAAGATCTTAACAGCTACATTTTCTCCTTGCCAATGTCCCCGCCAAACTTCTCCGTAGCGACCTTTACCAACAAGATCAATTAAAATAATCTGACGAGCGACCGTTCGCTGGACAAGGAAAGGCAGACCAGAACCACTTCCAGACGTGCAAGAGGCATCTATGAGACTTCTCAGAGAATCCTCACCAAGGGGTATTGCCATTAACGTTGTTCCAGCGTTATCAACAGTAATTTCTTTTGAGAAGCTAGTTTCCTTTCTCTGGAAATACTTGAAAATGGCGACAATAATTACCAACAAAAAGACGAAGGCTGCAACTGGTGCACCAATACTTATTGCCATGTTCTCGGTGTAGATTTGATCTTTTGAGGGTGTGACAGGGCTTTCAACAGCTAAAATGAATGATTAAGTTAGAAGTGGTCAACATAGCTTAAAAATAAAAATCTACCTTGACGATACTCCACGTTTTAGCAGCAATGGTGCAGAGCGGTGGAAAAAAACCATCTCCTAAATCCATTCTTGAGAATTTTCTCACGATTAAACACTAGCAGACCACCTTTTACATGTGCAAAATCTCTAGTGAATAGATACAGATAGTTAGAAACTTAAGCACCAGTTTATTTGATTCCCTAACTTCAAGAAGGCTTAACTACACCGATCTTTTCTGCTAAAGCGTTAAATTCAGATCAACAAGAAAAATAATCCTATTTTGATGAATTTTGTTCGGAAAAAGTTTGTAAAGATGTGACTATTATTTGTACTAAGCGAGTTCAGAGTCCCTAGCCCGCTTCATGGACACGTTGAATAGGTGGAATTTCACATGTACTTTTTGAAGGGGTAACGACTTAGTTGACTGAAATTTTATTTTTTAAACAATTCCCTATAAAATTGCTTAATCCACGTTGCATAAATGACCTCAAAAGTTCTCAAATAATTCAAGCTTTCTCTTCACGTAACATACAACAATAGAATAGCGTTGAATGACGTTTGCAATAAACATCAACAAAATTGTCAAAGAATTTGTAATTTAAACTTACTGTTTGATATATTCTTTTTGGGTATGGGTGGAACAATAGCGTTGCAATAGTCAGATTTGCAACACTTCGTAAGGACGCCATTCATTGCCTTCTCTGAAACATGTTGAAACAGTGTCTCTTTTTGTGACAGGTCTTTCTTATAATCAAAGCCGCATGTAAAGGTCATCTGCTCTATCTAACAAGGCAAAAACAAACAATTTTATAAACTACTAGTAAACGGCAAAAAATTCGTTTTTAGGAACTCAAGTTTTTCGCTTAATTAGAGGCTTCTTTCGTTGATGTTTACTTTGATGTTTATCTGTGCGTTTACTTTGCTTGTATTTAGCTGAAACTAAATCTGTCTGAAACTGTGCATAATTGTAATGATGTGAAGATGATGGAACAACGCATGGGTTCAAAAACAAAAAATAACTTGGATCGTATTATGAACTCAAACAGCCAACTCAAATAACTACTAACCTCCCAAGAAACAATAAAAAGCAAGCCAGGCACTTGGTATATCGACTACTTAGTCTATTCCACTGATCTTGAAACTAAGGCTGGCCAAAACTTTTGAACATTTATATGACTTAATATACTCGAAAAAGAGATATAAATACTAAAACGGGGAAACCTTTGGGGGCCTTTAGAAAACTACCCCGTTAACTTTTCACAACGACTTGATTTCTAACATTATAATGCGTGTTTTTTCAAGACTGATACAATCCTGTTATAACGTACTTTCGGAGTACTTTCGTATAAAGTACTAACGTACTGGTGTGTCCCTTAAGTACGTTATAACCGGAATTACTGTAATAACAAATTAAATAATTATGTGCAGGAAGGGGACTATTTAATTAATGGCCTCCCTCTCACCATAAGATACTTGGTGGACATGAATGCACAATGGCGCAAAAATAAAATTCCAAACTGCAACAGCATATGAAACTTTGTAGACTGGCCAACTTTTGTCTTAGCTAAAATAACAACGCAGCATGAAAAACGAGACTCTACCGACCTTTTCGTCATGCAGGCAGCCATAGGTTGTGTCGAGGACTTTTCTCGTTCGGATATCATAGGTCTGTCCCACAAAACATCCTACTCCAGAGGAACATTCCGCTAAATTTGGTCCACAGTCCGGGCATTTGCACCGGAAGCGCGTCATGGAGGAGTTGAACTTAGCACGGCTGGGTTTGAAACCATCATTGTTCAGAATTCTCTTGAAATCGGACTTGGCTAACGGACTTGGTGAAATCTTATCTGTACCTGTTGAACAAAAATAGATGATGGTTATAATGTTTAAGATGATCAACATAAGATTTTAGATTGCGAAAAAATTAAGACATAAGGCGACGATTATCCAGACTTTGGCCAATGTGGTCGATTAACGTGACAATTGTGACAAGCCATAATTTCTAACTTACACAACTGTTCAAACGGAAAAAACAGGAACATAACACCTGTCGAATTTTAGCCTTGATCGCAGAGACAGTGAGTTGCTCAGTACAAGAAGAAAAGGCAACCTGCAAAAATCGCCTAACTGTAAGGACGGGACACTCAAATAAGACACATGGGCAGAAAATTAGGAATGCGATATCTAATACTCAAAACGTTTAGAAGATGATAGCTATTCCTAGCAATATCCCAGAAATTATACTTTCGTTGGTTGCAGCTCGTTCAATATACAACTCTCATCATGACCCTATTGGTACAATAACACTGATTCGCTACAGAAATGCAGTTGATTACAGTAGACTTCCATTCAAGTTGTAGAGGCTGTTTATTTGTACCCTGTCAAGCACGCAAATATGGTGAATTAACCTACAGCCGAAAGAGGGATCTAGCCATGAAACGGCAATTGCGATTTTAGCCGAAATACTTTCTCAATGTAGCTTCTTAGTACATGCAGAAAGCAGGTCGGGTAGATGGAGGGAGCGGCTTCAAATCACCTGTGAACCTGCTGCTCATAAACGTTTTGTGTAGCAGATCTAAAAAACCGACACATATTGAAAATGTCGTTCTTTCTGTCTTTCTTGTACTCAACCGAAAAAAATATTGGATAGCATAACAGCTGGAGACTTGAGAGAGGCATCTATGATCTAAAGTCCTTGAAGGGAATTCAAGTCCAATACAGAAGCGTATAATCTACACCTCTTGTACAATGCACATCTCAATGCTGGGGCAGTAAATCTAAAAAACGCATCTTTCACTGTGTCATAACAATGTTGAACTGCCAACTCTAAAACAATCTTACAAATTTAAGCTTCTAAACACCCCGAAAACCTTCTACATATTTTGCATAATTTTTGAACCATTCACTTCTTATTTACACACATCTTGTCCTCCTTGTTTATCAACCAGCTTTAACTCAACCAGCTTTAACTACTTTAACGAGAAGAAAAAAACAACCAGATACTGGAATTGACAGAAGATTTTTAAATATTAATGAAATATCCTTCATCTTCAAGGGATCACTCATTCTACCGCGTGATTTATGTACAATGAATTTGTCGCCGGCTATTCCCTTCTGAAGGCTTCACGCGTCCTTCTTATAAACGGTATCTCTCTATGTAATTCCATTAGAGTATTAAATGTTTATGATCTGTTACAGATCTCTAAAATAGTTAGAAAATCTTCTAGATGTCCTTATAAAAACAAAAAACCAGTGAACATTCAACCTACACAAGGTGCGTAAAGACAAAAAAGCAACGAAAAGATACTGCTTCTATTTCTATCAGCTATTTCAGATCACAGAAGAAGTAAAGGGATTTTACAATGGAAAAGAAAGATCAAATGCTTTATAATGGCATACAGGCAACCAGAAAATTACGGACATCAGATTTAAATTCTGCGGCGTAAGTCAGTAATTGCACTTAGTCATACAGGCCCCGATACAGCTACAAAAACAAAACAAATCATTGGAATCGTTGTAAGTTAACGTTGGAGAAACATTTACATAATGTAGAAAAGACAAGGCCAACCCCGCGAGCGCTACTGTTGGGTCTCGGCGCGCATTTTAGAACAAACGTGTAGTAGGATAAGAATTCTTTCTACACAGTTACGAACAAACTGTCGAAAAAGCTATATGGGTAAGAAATCCAAGATTGGCTAAGGAATTTTTCAGTTTTGTACATGGAAAGGGGTTAGTAAGTTTCATCAAATCTAAGCAAGATGCAGAGATTTGACGTCTACACGAGAGAGCTACCTGGATACCGCAAACTCTAATTGATCAAGTGGGTAAGAAGGACAGCGTTTGTATGAGGACATGAGTTTTGTGAGAGGAATAAGGGAGGGAGATTTTATTGTTGTTGTAAGTAGCGAAAAGATTATTATTGCTTACTTTTGTGTACGTTCTTGCATGTTTCTTGCCAAGAGGGTTTAAATTTCAGAAACGATAAAAACTCAACATCTAATCAAATCAACTCTTCACCGTTTCAACTAAGAACAAAATATTTATCTAGGTTTTTCCTTTGTTTTCATGGCGCAACCGATTGTAAAGAAAATTGATCTAATGTATCATATTCTAAACTTGATATTTCAATTTAAATACTCTATACAACACTATGTGTGTAGACTATGTAGTTGTTTGTATTTGGAATAATATATTGTATTGTATTGTATTGTATTGTATTGTATTGTATTGTATTGTATTGTATTGTATTGTATTGTATTGTACTGTAGATTATTCAATGTTAGTTTTTACAATAGTGAATATACACTAATTAAGACTAACATGAAGCAATTTCAAGGATTGCATAAGACAGTTCATTTACTGCAAAACGAACATGCGCACTTGTTTTCAAGGAGCCAAGTTTTGATCAAATTCTTAAATTGTCTAGTATTTTTGCTGTCTTTATTGATTCCGGGAGTGAATTCCAGATTTTATGCCCTTGAAAACTTAATAGGGGTTTTTGAGTCGAAGGTTATGACATGTTGTTTTGGGTACAAAATAGTCTTTCATGAAAACAGAATTAAGGTTGTTAAGTGTTTTATCAACTTCGAGCGCTAAAATTCTAACTGATTGGACATGTATGGTAATTTCTTCTGAGTTAGCAAGTAAACTTTGTACGAAGATGAATAGTCCGAATAAGCTAGTCTTAATGCCCACTCGTTAATTTTCTCTAGCTTATCCTGACTGCCTTTTCCACATAGCATCCATATCAATGGACAATAATTGAAGTGACATAACATAAATGAATCATAATTAGCTTTTTTTCTCTGTCGCCCATAAATTTTGCCAATCTTTTTAAAGAATTTAGCTGTTTAGCTGCTTTTTCACAGATATTATCGATATGAGCATCAAACTTTAAATTTTCATCGATCTGAGCACCAAGCAAAGTAACGTTTTTCTCTATTTTACATGCAAATTTTTTGGTCAATTTCAAACTCATTTATTTTCAAACTCATTTATTCATATCCAAGTGATGTATTATTCTAATATTCCTGCTTTTGCCGCTGCACAAAGTTTCAACGACTTTTAATTTCTGTTGTTCTACCGGTATCTTGTAGCATTGTAAAGGCACAAGAAATGTATTAAACTCCCCTACGTAAGATTGCATCTTTTGCTTTTAGTTTTAATACAGGCTTTTCAATGCGGTCGTTTTAACAATGGAATGAATGAACAAAATCAGAGAATGTTTTTCTAGCAGAAGATGTTTCTCTAGCAAACGCATCTGGTAAAAACCAAGAGAGAAAAGCAGGTATTCAAAACAGCATTCAACATAATCTAGGTTGTACAGAAATGAAACTCAAGTAATTAGGGCAGAGAACAGGAGGTAAGCATAGGTTTTTAAGTTTCTTTTCAGTGGATGAGCTCGTTTGACAGTGAAATTGTTAAATATTTAATCAGGTCTAAAAGCTGAACTGAAGCTACTAAAATATGGACATCGTGAAAAATATTTGTCTTTCAAATGATCATGTTTATGTTAAAACTGCTCGGTATCGACCAAAGATTTAAGGTCCTTCCGTGAAATTATTGCTCGCCGAGACCAAACCACAATCTATGCAGCACAGCGGTGACCAGGAAGAAATAGGAGGAAGAAAAAGTTGTAGGCCTGTCCGGAAGTTTAACCTTCTAACATTTACCCATAATATTATTTCCATCATTTGACTGCTTGGTATCTCGAAATTCTTCTAAATCGAACAAAGAATATTTTCTCACCATAATTTGTTACCGAGTAAAAATGTTCTTAGTTCAAGCCTAAAAAAATTACACAAATTCTAATTTCCCTTAGGAGTGCAGCTAGAAAGGATACCCTTAGATGTCAAATACTGAATACCTTGAAGATCCTTTCCGGAGTTATAACATTGATAACCAAAGCGAAATACCTATACTCAGAGGTACGGTTTCTAAGAATCTGCTGAAGCAAAAGATTCAAGCCTGCTTGACGTTGATAAAACTAGTAACATGAGACCTAGAGAAAGCAGCAGAAATACTTATAAACACAATGTTATTTTGCTCAAGAAAGATATTTAATGATCTACTCTAATCAACAAAAAACTGACAAGCAGAAGCAGACAATCACCTTAAAATAAGCCGAGAAAAAAATTGACTAGAATGCTTCTACGTTTATGATGATTGATTCAATCTTGAAATGAATGTGAAGAGAATCGAAAGCATATCATATTGGAAGTCTTAAACGACTTATAAGTAATGGACACATTAATGCAACTTGAATTGATCTCAGCCTTTTACTCGTTTTCTGTTGAAACGTGAGAAAGTTGAAGTTCCAGGTAGGCGTTTTTAGGAAGTGTACTCGGCCAACGCAACGCCATAGTTAAAAAATTAGACAGGAGCAGACAAACAGTTTTATGGCAAACTTAGCAAAGCATAACCTTCACAAGAAACTTGCGCAGCAAACCTTTGCTTAAATACCAACCTTCGACAGAGCCATCTGCACCATTCTATTAAAAGTCATGGTTTGCGTGGAATCATCATGAGAAGTAATAAGGAGGAATAAAAAGAGATGGCATGGCCTTTGAAACATTGTTTAAAATGGGGTATCGGGGAACACTGCATTTCAGCGACGATAATCGACAGGTTATTTCATGAAATGAGCCAAGTAGATCCAAAAAACTCCGAGTTACGTTTAAAGGACATTACATAATATTGGCGATTAATCTAAACTAGCGAAAGGCTTGGAGTGGAGCGCCTGCGCCGCGCCTACAAAGTCTTTTAAACTAATGTACTCGCCTTCGAGTCATGCGATGACGAAGGGCCAATTCACACTTTTTCATGCAAAAGTTGCGCGACCCTAGCTCTGCAACGTTTTTTTGCAGCAAAATAACAAAATTGAAGCCTTACATACAATTAATGACTCAAGCAGCACGCTTTCTGTGCTGAGAGAGACAAAGTCTTCCTATTGTGGCAAGCTAACCAAGAAACTTGATACAGAAATTCGAATCAGTGCTTGAGCAGTAGCAGAAACAGCTGTCACAAATACGACTGCCTTGCGGGTGCAATGCTTATGAAAGCAAAATACATATATTCGCTAAAATATCAATTCATACGAGGCAAGGAACTTCTAAATAGTGGCCAAGTGAAATTTATGACATTGGTTGGATATCATATAAAATAGAAGCATACATTAAACTGCAAATAAGTTGTTATAGTAAACATAAAAATTTCAAAAAATTTAAATGCAGAGGTTTAAAAAAATCACGAACAGATTCATACCAAGCTTGAAAGGGCGAAAATGCAGCCTTAACTTTCCTTCCAGATAAAGTTGATAAGGGGGAGGAGTTAATTTCCGTACAGTGTTGTTTCGAGAGATGCTGGCTGGCAAGCTGCTGGCTGGCAAGCTGCTTCTTGTTGGCTTTATAGGCATTATGTTACAGCATGAAAATTGCGCGGCAACCAGATCCTTGGGTGATGATGTTTTCAATTTGGCATTAAAAAATTTATTGAACAGTGACCAATATATATATATACAAGATGGAATGGCTAGCGAGCGTAGGCGAGGTAACTGCGATTCACCAAGGCAGATGAAGAGTGACAGGCTTCTCGAGAGGCAAACAAGAAAATGGCCAAGTGTATCACCAGAAGTGATCTTTTCAAATCAACGACCACGAAAAGACATCTGCCGCATGCTATTAGAAACGCACAGCTCAAAAAGAGGTGATTGGGAATAATTTGCATTTTCATATGTTCACCTGCACGAAATATTTCGCAAATTTAACTATAGGTGACAAGTACAATCAACACGAGTCCCAATCGCAGCAGCATGCAGCATTCTGTATGATTATAGCAGTGAGGTTGAGTATGCGGTCACACACTTCAAAGTGATGATGATGGCTGATGAAGATGGCTTCTTTGGAGTACAAGAGGATGTAGTATAACTGCATGATTCTTTTGCAACACAATTTATTATTCATGTCATACACAAAGTAATGAATAGTGAGGATGATTACGTGGATGATCAAGTTGACGATAGATCATGGATGGCGATTGACGATCGACGATTAACGATTAACGATCAACAAATGTCGATTCAAGAAGATTCATGACGATTCGTGGCGTTTCTTGGCGATTCTTGGCGACTAATTGTATTGATTCTTGATGGTGGTTTTAATGGTGGTTTTAATGGTGGTTTCGATGGTGGTTTCGATGGTGGTTTTGGTCGTTGCTTTTATGGCGATAACAATGGAGGTGGTGATGAAGCTAATGGATAGTAATGATGGTGGGCAAGGTAGTCAAGAACTGTACCGATATTTCAGCACCCACTGTTTAAGAAAGGAAAAAAGAGCCCCGAAAGCTATTATAACACTGGTTAATACATTCTTCCTTCACATATCAGTTAGAGCGTTGGTAAAGTGGAAAGACTCGAAACTGCTTGATGTTCCTATCAAAACTGCTTGATAGGAACAAGGAAAAGCATGATGGAATAAAAGCTCTCACATCAATAGCCACAAATGAAAGATGCCTGGCAGCACAATAGTGCAATTTGATTTGAAAAAGCAAGACTAGGATTGATATATATGTATTCAAAAGCTCTAGACTGTAATGTTTTTAAAAAAATTTAAATAGATGATCAGTAAAAAAACAACTTGATTAACGTTTCGCAATATGCTTCTTCAGAAGATATAGCAATATGCTTCTTGATTCTGAAGAAGCATATTGCGAAACGTTAATCAAGTTGTTTTTTTACTGGTCATATATATATATATATATATATATATATATATATATATATATATATATATATTAATATATATATATTATAATATATATATATTATATATATATATATATATATATATATATAATTTAATTGGCTTGCTGAAAATCAATATGAAGGAGTGCCTTTTAATTCCATTTTGGATGTGGTTTCTTTCGCCTCTTGCGAAAATAAGAACGTAAATGAAATAGCAACTGAATCCAAGTGACAATTTTCCATCGTTTTGAAGAAAATTCGGCATATTGCATTTCAGCATGACCTGAACACACTAGCAGGTTTTGATTTGACGGTTGTAAACAAATAATTATTTTCTAAGTATCATGCTGCATTTCCGTGCTTTTCAATAGAATTAATGCAACAAGATTCATCACCCATGTTATCAGCATTTATTAACCCACTTAACTACTTCAAAGTCTTAATCTCTGCTGCTCGAAAATGACATACTTCATAAATCTTCCTTCTATCCCTGCTTGAATTTTCTAGCAAACAACTCTTTGCCCTGCCCATCATCTTAATAGATGCTCAAAAGAGATTTACCAATGCAAATTTCAACGAGAACAGCAGCAGTAAGCTCTTGGGTTTATATTTCTTTCCTGTTTCTAGAATATTCATGACGTAAGAACAACGAGTAAGGATCCGTACACATCATAAACGATGTATAAAACGAAAGAAATATTTCATTGTTCTTTCAAACGTAAAAAGAATAAAGGAACAAAGACGAACAATACATTACAACTGCCCCTACTAAAGTTTAACCTGCTTTAAAATAAAAAAACCTACCAAAACTTTGTATTATATCGGAAATCTTCTATCATGTATCAACTACTGGAAAGCAGTGCCAACCAGCCACGAACACGTACTTTTAATGAACTGGACACAGTTCGAAAACCGAAATGATGCACCATATATACATAAACGTACTTCAACGATTCAATAATTGCTACCTGCTGAAAACCTAGAATAACCGACTTACTGTCCGACGACGATCGCTGTAAACCATCAGCCGTAATACCGTTGATTCGTCTCCCAAGAGTATCGTTTACAGATAAAGTGTCGGTTTCTTGTGGTTCGTAATTTCTTGCCTTGAGGTTGAGGTTAGGAAAAAGCTTGTTTTCAATTACGTATCCCATGTCTTAGCGCTGATATATGCCTGATGTTATCGAGTTGAGGTATGCCTTCGGATTCCTGTTGCGAACAGCAAAGATTTGAAGTGTTCTCGTCTAACCCGATATAGTGATATTGCCTTGCAAATGAACAGGCCCGATAACGATCGCACTGTTTCAAAGGGCTCTTATCTCATTCAAAGAGGCACAATCGCGAGGAAATTATAAAATACTACTTGACAAGGGCACCTCCTACTTTTCAGCATTTAGCGTCCAAAGCCAATAACATCAACACATTGCATCAAACTAATTGAATTGAATTACAAAGGGCGAGGTTGTTGGGGAAACGCAAAACTGGGACAGTACCCTTTTGTTTAGCACATGCCCTAAAGAACTAGGCAATTTTCTCGAAACTTCAAAGATGTTGCCACCAAAATTTTACTGAATAATTTATTGAACTAGTTCCAAAATTTTGACTGTATATTTAGTGAGCAAATTGTCTCTCAGCCCATAAACTGACAGGTGGGACGAGATCATCGACTGTTTACATGCAGATTCTATCCCACCTTCCAACCTGTGTGCTTACAAGTGGGACGAAATTTGATCGCGTTTTTTTCAACATTTCATCCAATCTTCCAGCTTCATCCCATCTTCCAGCGTTAACAGGAAAATAATTAATCCCATCTCAGTGAGATCCCATCTTTCATGCACCGGGGGCTGGCTAGTTTCCAAGGATTCTAAAGAGGAGTGGGATCTCACCCCACAGGCTGGAAGGTGGGATGATTTTGCCCATAAAAACAAGCCCTAAGAAGGCAAGAAAAAGAAGTGAAACATACGTTAAGGTAAAATGTCACCAAGCCGAAACATTGATATCGAATGACGTAATGTAGGCTTCACTCGCATCTTGGTCTAGGGCTACAGAATTATGTGGTAGACGATCTATGCGAGTTTGGATTGCAAATGAATGGAACCGACGTTCTATTTCTTGATTGTTTGCAGTGATAAAAATATTGACAATTTAAAGGGTCTAGGGGTTTCGTCTCTAGTATAACTTCTTTACATTTGTTGGCCTTCTACACGTAGGTTCCTTATAAAGTGGTTCCTTATGAAACAAAAAGCATGCGAGAAACTAGAGGCGATGGCTACTTTTCTGTCCTGACGCAAGTAACGCCTCTTAGCCTCTTTTCTCATTGATGATTTGCTAATAATTGAGTAGTTGTTGGGTACGGTCCTCTCCCTAACACGACTCACATAAATAACATGATATATTGCTAGGCAATTGAATTTTGAAAATTGAAATACGATTAATTACAGTGCCAGGGCTTATCTTTAGATGCCTGTTAAAACATGCAGACGGGATTGACAAAAATGGCACATTCAGATAGACTACATAAAGTGACTGCGAACATGATATGAAAGAGAGAAAGAATGAAAACAAGGCAGAAGCCCCCCACTTTACAAACATTGGTAGTTACTGAAACTTCAAAAGCAAAGCAGTTACTAAACCTTTAGAAGCAAATGCACACGCTAAAACTTTAGAAGCAAACACACCCACCAAAACTTTAGAACCATAAGCAGTCACAGAAACCTTTGTTGGAGCACTAACAAAACAAAAGGACATATTGAAAATTTAAAAGTTACATAGAATAACTAAGAACGACTTCAGATATTGCGGAAAAGACAGTTCTTCTACCATGCTTCTACTAAAGACAGTGTTTAAACTTTAGAATACCAGTTTTTTGACAGAATATGCACGTCATAAGTTTCGGCAAGATGCAACCTAAGTATCAATTAAACTTCGCTTGGTTTAATAATGATCGTTTTGAATAACAGCGAAAGTAGACAGCAATATCCTTCTTTGTTAATGAAGGACCGGAGGATGGAGACTACTTGAAAACAAGATATATCACAAGTGCACAGATATTGGGCAGTATATTGGGTTCAAATGTAAGGTTCCCAGATGTAAGGAGCTTCTGTGCATATTTGTTTGGGAGACGAACCAGCTTTTTCGAAGGTTCATCGCCTCTCTAAATTTTGCAGCATTTGCACATGCGCAATTGAAATCGATGACGTTATTCTTGTACCACATAATATAATCGGTGGCAAGAGCATTCGTGGCTCTTATTGGAATAAGCCAGTCTTGAATCAAAAGTAAAAGGTGAGAACGAGAACGGTGAGAATGAAACTGGGATTATATGCTGTAACAATGATATGTAATAGATTTGATTAAATGCTATGAAAAATCTGGCCACAAAACCGCAATTCTATAATGCACCCTCCCCCATCATGACAGGAAAAACCCTTGGAGCAGCTTGTTTACTGGAATCTATAAAAATACACGTTGCTTCGTGGCTTCAATATCAAGAAGGCAATTGAACATGACTCATAACAACCGATATCTTTCAATAGTCCAAGAAATGGCATAAAATGATTTAATTTGTGACGGGCATCCTATATTGACGGGCATCCTAGCAAGACAATGGAAAGAAAAAAAGACGAGGGGCAAGCAATGTACGCAGAAATTTATCACCCATTGAATCGAAAATGGAAGACCACACAAAGCCCTTTACCCAAGAGTGGGTTAATCACAAGAAATTCTATTTTAAGTAAAAATTGCTTCTTAATAGAAAACTTATTGGCAGAAACGATGAAAATGAGGCCGTAATGATTTCAGAGCGAGATTAGACACGAAACCACTGCAAAGGGCGGCTACGTGTCTAAATTTGAAAGAGAATAAAAAATCGAAATCTGATCTTTAAAGCCTTCTTGACAAGCAAATGCAGCGAAATTTAATTTTAGGGTAGATTTATTTCATGGAGACTACGGTTGCTATTGTTGTGGCTCGTTCGTGCAGATAAAATCAAAGTTAGCGAAAATATGTCTTTTGAAATAATTTTTTTTATCAAAGTAAATGAAGAAAATTTGATACAACAAAGAAGATTAATGTTCAGTTAGCAGCAAAAGTAGCTCGGAGCTACGAACGAATGTACTTGACGCGAAGGAGTTCACAACAAAACCTCCCTAAATACAAACATACGTAGCTAGTTGCTGAATTTCGATGCAGAGATCACGAAATCCGAATTGAGACTGGCAAACAGCGAAAACTAGAAGAATCAAAATGCAAGTGCAACATGTGTAGAAATTCATTTTCTCACTGTATGCTGGGTATATGGCGACATGAGGTGGACTTTTCTCGCACCTAGTTTAGACAGGGTACTAACGCAGATTCTTGTAGAACACATTCATCGACATACTGTCATGCCAAAGGATCAGCAAGCAGAAAAATTTCGCACGATTATTGTAAGAAGCAGTAGGGCTCAGAATCAAAACCATGAGTCAGCAGATAACTACTGATAACAAAATACACTAAAACTAAGTGTGTAGCATTGCCTACAAATATATTCTTTTTTATAGCACATTATCTTCACATATATAGCCCTACTGTTGCTTTTCAATAGCTGCTGTAACATACCGCTCTACCTAATTCTGATAAAAATGTATTTTATTATATTTTGTAGTGGCCCTGTGCGATGTACTACTGTAATTTGCCGCAGCAATATCAAATAACAAGAGAAAAGCAGAAATGATTGGTTTCGTCAGCCATAAAGCGGTGGATAAGGTGTTTCTTGGCCAGTGCATGGGAAGTATCTTTATAAAGAAAGAGAAGTAGACATTCAAAAAATAACACCATAAGCAGAGACAAGAGTGTAGTGTTTTTGGCGTTAGTTGCAGAACAAACAATAAAACAATGAGCAGGTTAGGCCATGGCCAATGATACAGAAGCGCCTAAGATGCTAGATATCCATCTCACAGGTACGCTGTGTAGCAAATTTGTTTACTTCCGCCATGTTGAATAATGGCAAAAAGGAACTTGCTCCATACTGAGCCCTTAAGTAATTAACTGGTAGTAGTTAATCAAAGGATCACAAAGAATTTTTTACTAAAATAAACGAGGTCTTTTAATAATGTCTTCTTAATGTCTACAATAATTTTATAAGGCCTACCCCCTCGTATAAGCCCCCCTCAAATACGCCCCCATCCAGAAATATAAAAAATAAGCCCCCAGGGGGGCTAATTCGAGGATTTAGGATATTCAAAATTGCGGAAGCAAAGAAATTTGCCTCACTTGGCAGTACACAAGTGCCTTCTATATCATTGGCCATGGCGTAAAAAATCAATATCAAACTACTACGCATGTCGACAAAAACCATGATACTACAAAATGATGGTTACCACAACAAACCTCCGCCTAGTTTTTACTATATTTTTTTAAGGGTTTTCAGAGTTTTTTAGGTTTTTCCAGAGAAAAAATGAACAACCTCAAACAGAGCTTGGCATGGTTTTAAAAGCCATCCCACGCCACCCGAAACCTTCGTTATCAACACAAAGGACAGTTAAGAAGGACACCTGTCCTAAATGATTCTTACCGAGAGGAGATTCACTCTTGCAAATAGCGTAAGAGATTTTGCCTAAAACAAAATGATTTTGGGGATTTTCAGATAAAACAATAGGATTTTCACGAAAGTGTACGAGATTTTATTAGAGTGATTTGCCCGTCGATTCTTACAGTTACAAAAAACTTTGCCACTGACTGTGAAAGGACAGATAGAGCAAAACAACAACGCAGGGACATTTAGCAACATTGTAGATAACATCTGCGGCGTAATGACGTCAACTAGAGAATAAATAGCCGAAGGAAATAACAGAAGTGTTGATTTTGTATACCAACTGGCGACTTTGTTCTAAGCACATTGCAAAAGTCTGTATGAACTGGAATCAACCAAGGTCAAAGATTTTCTAGTGTTGACGAAATAAACCACTCAAAGTCACCTAACGACCAAGAGGCTTCCCGGTCGCAATTCGTGAATATGTTTCATTCTATCATGTTTCATTTCATCATGTTTCATTTTATCAAAATATGTTTCATTTTATCAGATAATATCTAAATTCGAAAATTCAAAATCCTTCATATTTGTGAAAGAGAGTAACATTTCGAAGGTTCTAAGGCAAAAAGAATCTCAACTACCCCTTGCAGAAAGAAATCTGTTTTGTTAGTCTTAATATTGCAATCAAGGTGGGCAGAGCTATGCTTTGTGTTACAGATTTGTCGTTCACTAGGCTTTCTTTCAACGTCCACCAAACAAGGCCTTCCAATTCCGTTTTCGGAAGCGAAGAGTTTAGAGAGGAGCGACCGAGCTACAAAAATATGCTTTGATCAATTATTTCTGAATCTTCCTCCTAATTTCTGATATGCTCTCGTAATCAGTATAACAGGAAACCACTCGTTAAACTGACTGCATTCCTTTGAATTTTGAAAATCACAGATAGCACCCTCAATATCATATTTGACGTAACTGTTATAGCAAGTATGCATAAAAGGAAGATTTCGCCTAATCTAACTCACGTAAACACATTTTGAAAGAGTCTTGTTGCATATGTGATGAGCAGAACATGCATAGCCTGTGCTCCAGACCCCTAACTTGAAAGTAGAGGGTCTGTGTAACCGAGAGCAAAACCGCGTACGAGGATTGAATTGAATTGTTTGCATAATTATACAGATCTGTGTAATCATGCAAGAAGAATCGCTTCAAGAAGAAATTGTTGATCGGTCGTGATCGTATGATATAGATTCATTTGTTAGAAGAAAAGTTTTGAAAATGCTGCTCTGCTATTTGATGATGAAGATCTTCGTTGGGAAACTTGATTCGTTCTGACCAAAACAGATTAAAGGGGCTTTGGGCAAATCTTGCTCATTTTACAGCGGTTGATGGGGAGTGAATCTACGGCAGCAATCGAAGAAAAATTGCCTTGAGTAGAGTAGACGTTTTGTTTTGCATGGTAGAAGATGATTATTACTACTTTGGCTTGAATGTAATGTAAAGAAGGATTTTTGGGACAAGATCTGGTGGATACGATGACGAAAAACATGACTTTCAGAGTAGCGATAAGAAATGGAAACCGAAAAGTAAACAAGACGCTTTGCCTCCAAGCCGTATAAAATGATCTCAGGTTATTAACGCAAGTTTACAGACAGTGGAAATTGCTAAAGACTAGTGAAACATTTAACATTGATCCGGACAGGCCTTCCCAACTGAGTAGACTAATTTCTTTAGCAATGTGAGGCAGAAGGCCTAGGCCTGTGCCTTGTACTTTTCATCAATTCTTTTCATTATGAAAGCGATTGCTGTGCTATAAATACGTCTTCTAAGTTCTTTGTTTGAAATTCTGATGTTTAAAAATAATTTTGTAACGTTCAATAACACATAAGAGAAGAGTTATCAACAACAAGCGTGTGTTTTGATAAAAATTCATCCTCCAGTTTTTGAAGTGTTTCTATTCTCGCGCCGGGCGACAATTATCTAGACGTCATTATATATTCAAGGCTTCAGGCATCATTGTGATCTGGTCTGACAAAATAAAAAGAAACTTTGAATTTGCACACATTTCTTTTCGCTATTTGAATGTGTAAACTGCCCGGCAAACTAAGCTCTGTCCACGCTGTTGTTCACTTTTGTCTTGTGAATGTCGCATAATTTTTTGCAGAATTAATTTTCCCAGAGATCCTGGGAAACGCCTGTACGCGATTTTGCTCTCGGTTACACAGACCCTCTACTTTCAAGTAAGAGGTCTGGGACACAGACTAAACATGCAGAGTCATTTTACCATCAATAGAGTACCGAAGTGATGACGTCACAAAAACTTAGTTTCAGAATTTTTCACTTTTGATCCCATAACCTGAAAGAGCGTCATAAAATACCTACAAATATGCAAATTTAGTTGAATTTTTTACAAATTGACTGAGATATGGCCACATGAGCAAAGGCTCATTCTACATCAAATCTCCGTTCTTTCAGATTATGTGGTCAAATTTTCGGAACTCTAAAAAGATTTTTGATGACGTCACACTTCGGTACTCTATGGCAACCAAGCACCATCAATAAAACAATCCCAACCGCACCCAACCAACACCACATGCCGATGACATAGTTCCCAAAGGTGCAAACAGTCGTAATTATCTATCAAAAAAGCCAGCCTGTTATTTCGAACTTTCGCTATCTTGAAATATTTTTCGTTTCTTCGCATCTCTTGATGTGCGACAAAATGCAGGGAACCAAGTTCGCAATCTCAAACTCCCTTCTCTAGGATGTTTCAATCTTCCATTAGAAACTACTGCCCTACATTTTCAGCTTTCCAAAGGTTTACAGAAGTTTCTTTATTTCCTTTCTCAAATTGAAAAGTTTATTAACGATTTCAAGCATGGAATTTAAAAAGCTTTCTAAATACTTAAACTCTCGAAATTTAATTCTGAAATTCTTTGATTTATGACAAAGCTTGTTTTTTTCGGCGGAGGAGTTGGGTATTCAAATTTTCTATCTCTAGAAGTCACAATATTCCAAGTTAGGAAAAATGTTTCAAGCTTAAGGTTGGGAGCATGGCCAAAAGAGAAACCTTGGGTTAGATGACATGGTCACTGTGGCGCAAGAATTCGCAGTACAGGACCCTCGCAGTAAGGTGGCATATAATTGGATCAGGGCAGGTCAGGACAGGGTATGGCAGGACAGAACAGGAAACCAAATGACTGGAAATTTAAAGGCAAGATAAGACAAGAAAAGATAAGACAGGACATGACAAGACCGAACATGACAGAGAACGACAGGACAAGACTAGACCGGAGAGAACAAGAAAGGAGGAAAAAAGACAAGGCAAGAGAAGACAAGAGAAGACAAGAGAAGACAAGAGAAGACAAGAGAAGACAAGAGAAGACAAGAGAAGACAAGAGAAGAGACGACGGACAAGACAAGACAAGACACGACAATACAAGACAAGAGACGACGGACAATACAAGACAAGAGACGACGGACAAGACAAGACAAGATACGACGGACAAGACAAGAGAAGAGACGACGGACAAGACAAGAGAAGAGACGACGGACAAGACAAGACACGACAAGACAATTCAAGACACGACAAGAGACAAGACAAGAGACAAGACAAGAGACAAGACAAGAGACAAGACAAGAGACAAGACAAGAGACAAGACAAGAGACAAGACAAGAGACAAGGCAAGAAACAAGGCAAGAGACAAGGCAAGAGACAAGGCAAGAGACAAGGCAAGAGACAAGGCAAGAGACAAGGCAAGAGACAAGGCAAGAGACAAGGCAAGAGACATGGCAAGACAAGACAAGACAAGACAGGACAGGACAGGACAGGACAGGACAGGACAGGACAGGACAGGACAGGACAGGACAGGACAGGACAGGACAGGACAGAAAAATATGGTTGCGTCTGGCATGGCATGGGAATAATACTTACTATTCCTAAAATGATATCTGGGGCAGGCAAATTTGTCACCTGTTAAAACCTTACATCATGGAAGAAAAAATTTGTAAACTTCACGTTAGGAGATATCTATTTAGAGGTGAAGCCCAGTTGTATGCACTGCAGTCATGTTTTGCAGGCAAAGTTGTCAAGGACCCTAAAAATGGGACCCTGAACGCAGACATTTCAAGACATCCTAAAGCTTTTCAGTGTATAAACGTCTGACTAACGAGGTTAATTTTTAGATTATATATACCTTGTCAACTGAAATAGGCAGCAATAACATCAATAAGTAAGGTTAACCAACTAATTAGCCAACCAGTTAACCAACCAGTTAGCCAACCAATGGGGCATGCTTATGGAAGATATTATCAATGGAGTTCCAGGGTGAAAACTAACTCTTTCTGTCTACAAGGTAGCTGTTTTTTCAAATTTATGTTAACTGATTGCCAATTATCCAAAACATCTTGCGATTGTAGTGTTTTGCACAACCTGCTAGCAAATGGTGCCTGATTCTGGTTTAAGTTTTTGTTTTAGATCTTTTTACTAGTTTAGTTATCATAAGCTCCTAACTCCAAGACTTGTTGAATTAAATCTCCGCAAATAAAGGGCGTAACACTAGTTCAAGGAGGTTGTGATATCAAACAACAATATAGAAACCATGCCCAACAAATTATGCTAATTCAAAATAGTGTTGTTGTAGCTTTTCTATAGATCAAACAATGGAAGGATTTGTGGCTCCAATGAACTAAAATAATTATTGATTGGGAAAAAAAATACTTAATTTCTATACCAAATATGCAGACAAAGCAAAATTGAAGTTTAGGCATTGTTATTGTGAAAACATAAAAACAATAATTATACAGTGACCTTGCGATATCCGTAGAGCTGAAATCCAAAACTAAATTTAATAATTTACTTTTTCTCTATTACATTGATTCTTAATCAAGCTGCTCAATTTTAGCTTAAAGATAAGTAAATCAATTTTGCTGACAATCATTGAGTGGGTATTGATGTTGGGAATGACTTTAACTAGCAAGTTCAAGTAGCACTTTTCATCATCAATGTATTCCAAATGCACCAAAACGGTCTTACAATAGATTCAACAAATTATTCAAGAAAGAATATATCAATCAGCCTTATAAGTCACATCCCTGCTTGTTTTCCCTGACAAAGGAAGATAAATAGATTTAAAAATACTCAACCGAACTTTGTGCAAACTAGATTTCTTGTATTTGATAATTAAAAACTGAGTGCTAAAAGAATGAAAATATGAGTTTTTTTGTACTCAAAGAATTAATAGACAGGTGGTCCAAAAATGTAACGCAAGAAGCATGCTGACTTTCTCTTAAAGGGCCACTCCAGCCCAAAATTTTTATTTAAGAACACAATGTAATCAGACCCCCTTAAAACGAATCTGCTTTGTAAACTGGTTATTGAGTTGAATTGTTTTTCAACTGTGTTATCGGAGCGCTTTGGATTGAGGTTACAAAAATTGTCTGCCTCAGTATTTTCGGGGCAAGTATCAAACGTCTATTTTTTAATGTAACGCTTCTCCATTGCATGGAGTTTGATGCAATATTTTCAAACAAAAACAAGAGTTTTGAAAGCTCTAGTTTTGGTTTGTTCTTTTAATAAAAAAATTTTGGCACAAATATCAAGAAACAAGTGACTGACCAGTTTACCCTGAATCCATGAAAAATTCATTAAAAGGTAAATGTATTGGCCACATACAATATTTAGGAAAGCTATCAACAAATTAAACAAAGTCTTCAACCACAAAATAAATATGATGCCTCTGGGCATATAAAAATGAAACAAAGTTACTTACAAAGATAAACATAAAAGTAACTGAAGCAAGAACTTTTTGATAGCACTAATAAACTGTATAGTTGTTAATACTTGGACTGTTGTAACAAATCCATCGAATGACAATTCTGTAGTCCATCTGATCAACTTTTTAGAATATGCTTCATTTTTTACTGTCTTTTTGATGATATTAAACAGCAAATAGAGGCAGAAAAATGTATAGAAATATGGCAATTATGATCAACTAAGACAACATCTACCATTATACGATTAAAGAAAAAAATGCTAAACGGCTGAACATTTAACAGTTGTAAACAGCCTATTAGAGCCAAGTTACAACTACAATGGAAACTTTTCTGTCCCTTCAAACAATGTTTCGAATTTCTGATACCTTGACCAGCACTGGTCAACTCTAAAGAAATTAAAAGTAAGTACCAAAGCCAAACAACTTAGGCAAGAGAGAAAAGAAGTGTAGGGTAATATTTTGTGAAAAGACACCCAAACAGACTAAAATTGAGACAAACTCTATCCAAAGAAGTGACTGTATCTTTTCATCAGCACTTGGTGACAAATAGCCAATAGTAAAGTTAAAACCAATAATAGTTTGCAAAATGTCTGCCCCACTCACATAAATTAAATGCATGAAGAGAGGGTTCATTTCAGGGACCTTTAAAATAGGTGGCATGCTTTTTCAAACTTGATGCTTTGGAAAAAACTTTGGAAATAACAAACTATAATATATAAAACTGTTTTGGTTTTTACTTTCAAAATGAAATAAGAGAAAAATATCAAACACTATAAACTGAAATCTAGCTTAATGACAACAATATTCAAGAACACTCTATTTTGTCCAAAGTTCCTGACACGAAGAAGGGTTGTTTGAAAGGGGTTGTTTGAAAGGGGTCATTCAAAAGGGGTGTTATTTTATACTTTAGCATTACCACACAGCTTTTATTTTTGGAGGGGCATATAAAAGGAGAGGGCAATAAAGAAGGGGGCCATTTTAAAGGGGCAATATACTAATTACATTCATTAAAACATCATCTATAGAATGGTTCTAAATGGCTACACATGATACAATATGACACTCATCAACAATAAAAAAGATAAATTTTTTCTCTTTTTTTTCTCATTGCATGAATTTGCATGAAAGGAATGCATCTAAAGGGGAAACTTTGTTAATGTTAAGGGTGAAATTACCAGTTTGCAGCACAACTCAGAATATATATAATTAAAGAAGTTGCTTAAGTGTCACTAACATTTCTATGGTAACCGAATAAAAAAAAATTTAGTAATCTAAAGTAAATTTGGAAAACCTAGCACCTTAAATATGTTATTAATATAACAAATGTCTATTAAAAACAAATAGATATTTTCAGATGTGCAAATGTGCAAATATCTACCCAAGAAGGACTGAAATTTATACGTTTCAGTCCTTCTTACAAAATTCCTCCGGAATTTCTTTTTACTTGGAATCAATAAACGTAAAAATCATTTCCTCACAGCACTGATTTGTTTAATTTGAAGATATATTGCTCAGATTTCTAAGAAGGGGTGAAATGTTATTGCAAACAACAAAGAACAAATGAGTCTTCTATCTAACTCTTTTTGAAGAGCAAAAAAGCTTGCAACAAAACAGAAATTTGTGTTACACCCATCAAGCAAATAATTGACTTTTGCTGACTTTCATGATTCAGTTGTATCATTGGTCTGACACTTGCCTGATATTCAAAGAAAAAAAGTAAAGCCTGCCTCAACAAATTGTTTAAATCTCAAAACAAAGAAACAGGACCTGCCTGGAAACAAAGAAACAGGATCCTGGCTGGAAACAAAGAAAACGGAAAGAGGACTTTAACGCCTTGGAATTTACATCAACATCTAGTTTGATCGCTTTTGTTTTGTGGAATTTTCCTAACCAATGCAACAGAATGATTCTGGGAGTGTCAGGGTGTTTTTCCAAAACAAACTGTTTAAAATGACTTTATTAAGGCTTATTGAAAAACACTTTATTCTTCAAGGTTTATACATTTATTAAGGTTAACTTACACATTCCCATCACAAAGTATTGTATCAAAGGAGGGAAATGGTGCCTGAATGATTGAAGGCTATTGTTATGCAAATCAATTATGCTTTAAGTGGACAATGGGAATGGGGTGAAAGTAAACTCCAATCTATTTAGAACATTTGTTTAAAAATTACAGTAACAAACTTCTTCTAACAGTTTTAAATTTCAATATTTTGATGGGAATATTTTCAAATACACTCTTTTCTCATAAAAGAACAATTTTATAAGAACACTAGCCTTCTAATGGGTCAAAAGTAAAGAATAAAATCAATAATAAGCTGAGGCTGAGCTTCTGCAAAATGCAATTTTGAACAACATATTTTCTCAAAATTGAGGATTTTTAGCCGTGTGGGTGCTTTTTCTGTGAATATTCAAACCTGTCAACAAATGAAGGTTGTCTCACTCACTTTGTTGGCAAATGAGGCCTGACTACCTCCTAGAGTGGAAAAGCTAGCACTCACACTGCTAACACCTATTAGATTAAGAACAAATTAAGAACAATCCAGCCTCAGATTTTCGAAAAAATTAAGAACAGTCAGCCTGAACTTAAATTTACTGGTTCTTAGAAAAAAAAGAGTGTAATGATTCTCTGGTTTTTGTAAAACCCTTTGGAAGGAAGCCAAAAATTTCAAATGATGATAGAAACTGGAATTGATTCTGGCAATGGTAAAACTTTAAATCTTCTTGCTTAGAAATAAATCTTTGTAAAAACATGTTTCTTTTATTCAGGTAGCTTTTCATTTTGCATTTGCATTGGCATTTGTACTTCTTGGTTTCTTTGTCAATGAGCCACTGTCAAGATGACTTGATTGATTTCCTATAGTTGTTGTGTAACTGCATCTAATTTTCTCAGCAATTTTTGGAAATTTTATATCTACTTTCCCTCAAAAAAATCAAAGTGACTTGCATCTCATTTGACAATTTTCTTCCTTTAGGCATGCTCCATATTTCACGAAACAAAAATCTTTTTCAAGCAATTAATACATTTTTAAATTAGTTTGTTATGGCATTAGAAAGATGATTAAGAATTTTCTGCCAAACTTTGAAAGAAAGTATACCTATTTAACCAAAATCATGCATGCAAATGTTTTGTATTGTTGAAAAGTTGACAAAAAGTGCATTATGGAAAAGACATTGAGATTTGATATTTGAGAGAATTTATAGAAGTAGTAAAGGGGGAGGGCAAATAAGATATTTGGGGGTGTCACATTGTTTAGGACCAACTATCTGGGAATTGATTAATTTTTCACAATGCTAAAGACAATGCTAAAAGATTACAGTAAAATCCGGTTATAACATACTTTAAGGGACCAGGGCATTAAGTATCTTATATCCGAAGTACGTTGTAACCAGGGTAGGTTAAAAATTGACTAAAACCAAGCACACCATTTGCCGGGATCAAGCACACCAGTATGTTATATCCGAAAGTACGTAATAACCGAGTATGTTATTATGGGATTCTACTGTATGCTGTTTGCCAGAATTTTTGACTGAAGAATTCTGTCTAAATTAGTCTGGCTTCCAAATAAAATAGATTTTGAAGCATCAGAGTTCAGGGGAAACTTCTTTCTGTTCCATTTGAGGTGCATTTTTGGATGAAACTATTTTGGGTAGGACACAGAAGTTGGAGAAGCATTTTGAAATAGCTCGAATTTCTGATATAGCCTCTACTATTGCAATAGAAGCATGTTTCTGCATGAATTCGACACGATTCGGAAACAAGCATGCCACATGTCTCTTTGATCCATTCTTTGCTCCACCCGTGGGATTCCAACAAACAAAAAACAATACAAACGAAACCCTTTTCTACAGACAGAAAACGAACCGTTACCTGGAAAGCTTTCAATTTCTTTTGTTGCTATCGAATAATGAATAGATATAAATTTACACATGCGTTTCTTAGGTTTTTAGACCGCAATAATGGAATAAAAATCACGAAGTTCCTTTGCGAGTCCACTTTTGCAAAACCACAAGTTCATCAAAGATGTCACGCTAAGCTGGCGCCCGACTGTCTACAGTTTCTGTTTCAACGAGAGGAGAGTTTGCTCCTTGTTGTGGAGCAAGTTATGATAGACAAATAAAGTGCCATCATTTAAATGGGTCAAGGTATTCTAAAGGAAAACAAATGACAGGCTTCAACACATGAAAAGGCACTTGAACTTGCCCTTTCTGTCATAAAACAAACATTGAAAATTGAAAACAGCACAGTGAGCGGTGGGAAGCCCCTCTACAACACACAACCACCGAAATCGATACTGGCGCATGAGTTACAAGAAAATATCACCTTCATGGAGTAGATAAATTTCACTGTTTGCAAGCTAAAGTAATATTTCATTTCTGCGTCAAAATGTTTTCAATCGACAGGAAAACTAAGCCATTTTTAAACTTGCTTCCTTTCAGGACATGAATATGAGTGGTTCTATATTACTCAGTTTTTGGAACCCTCTTCTGTTATTTAATGCTAGGATAGCTAGAGATCTTACATGGCAATTAACCAGTGTATTTCAAATTGCAACTCT